GGTCGACTACGTGGGAGTCCAGCAACATAGCCATTACACTAACTGCTGGTCCCTACCTACCCCTTTTCAATCCAAATCTCTTTTTACTAAAATCAGCCGAGGTCCTAGGTCAGCAGTGAAATGTGGTTACTCTGTGGTTGAGGCCGTGAATGCTTATGAGTGGGACTATTTTGTTTTCCCAGAGATTTTTCATTAGTGAATAGTCAGCTCTTTTTCTAAAATATCAATCTCAGGGGTCTCTTAGTTGAGTACAGTGGATCGTAGAGGGCTTTTAGAAAAAAAAAATTATTTTGATTATAGATATAAAAATTCCTTTTTTTCAAAAAATAATTTGTATTGATAGAGTTAAATACACTCACCTGGAAGTGAGAAAAATAACCCTGCAGCAGGCTATGGTTATGCTGCAGTCTTTCCTGCATCTTGTGTTTTGGGGATGTGCACACACATGCCCAGCAGTTTTTTAAGCTGCCTGAGCTGGAATTCCAACCACAGTCAATCATGAGTTCTAGCTCCCTTAACCACTAGGCTATGAGGCTGACCCCAAAAGCTCCTTTTGATTTTATTTCCTCTTAACATTTTTCTTTTCTTTAAGAATTATTTATTTTGGGACCAGCAGTTGGCGTAACGGCTATATTGTTGGACTCCCATGTAGTTGACCGTGGTTCAAGTCCTGGACCCGGTGGCTTAAATTACACCAGGCACACGGGCATGTGTGCCCAAGATCCTGAGAGAATGGAGGAGAAGGGATTGCAGTGTGACCATCCCTCTTGGGGGGTGATTTCTTGCTTTCTGTCTCTGTCTCTCTCTGTCTTTTTGGCAAGCACATGTGCCCTATAGCAAAAACCTCTCCCAAAAAAAGGAATTTTTTAAAATTTAATTTATTTACTTTTTAAATTTGATCATAGAGATGGGGGGATGGGTAGGAGAGTAACAAAGCAAGCTACCAGGTCTGGGACTTGAATTGCAGTTAGCCATGTGGGAGTCCAGCACCTTAACCACCATGCCACCTGCCGGTTCCAACATTTTCTTAACATTTTCTTTTCCCTTTTTCAAATTTTTGGTTTGTGGGCCAGAAATTAGGCCATGCTAGAGGCAAGCCATCCAACTGCTGGTGGATTGATCTGGCACCAGTGGGCTTTATATATATATATTGTTTTTCCTAAGATGTTAGATAGTAAGTGGAAATTTCACGGAAGAGAACTTTGTCTTTTTTTAGAGGTTTTTGCCTTAAGGCATGTGTGCTCACCAGGGAGAGATAGAGAGACAGAAACAATGAGAAGGAAAGTGAGAAATCATTCCCTGGGGGATGGTCACACTGCATTCCTTTCTCCATTCTCCTGGGATCTTGGCCATGCACACGTACATGCCCCGCTTGGTTTTGAAGCAGTCTGGTCCAGTGCCGGAACCATGATCGGCCCTGTGGGAGTCCAGCCATGTAACCGCTACACCATCTGTTGGTCCCAACTTGGAGTCTTTGAGAGATTATTTACTTTATGTAGAGGTAATCAAGATGGGCATATTTGTTACCCAGCATACTTGCAGGTTTTTCAGGGTAGGTTACATCTTTCATGCTATTGTGTGTTGGCCCATTTTATGATTAATGTCATACTGGAGCATTTATGAAAAACCATTTTGAGGAAGAGCCCCATAGAATTGACAAGGAATTGCTCTGAGGGTGCTTCAAGTTCAAGAAATAGAGTACTGCTAGAGGCAGAGACCTTGAATACCTAAAATGGGACAGATACTAAATGTTAAGTGGAGGCTTAGGGCACAGATTTTTTTTTTTTTAATTTTTAAAAGCACTTAATGCCTACTCATCCAAGCACTTAACATATATTAGCTTATTTTTATCTCCTCACCAATTCTGTGAGATATATGCAGTTGTTATAAAAACCCATTTTAATAGATGGGGAAACCAGAGCATGGGGATGTTAAGTAACTTTCCCAACATGCTATGGCAACCAGGTGGCAGAGCCAAGATTCAGAACCAGAGAACAAAATGTCCTCGGTTCACCTGTACTTTATCTACCTCAGGTGTGGAAACAGACATTCACAGATTCTGAGTAAAACGATCAGGATTCCTGGACCGTTTTATTGGGGATTGGCATTTAGAAAACAAGAGCCACACTAGCTGTATGTGCTCAGTGCTGCTCAAGTATCTTTGTCCTTTTGTCGACAAAGTTAGATAATACTCTCATTTTCCTTCTAGGTCATTCTGTCCTCTGTATTAAAGTTATACTGTCAGAGTACAGTATGTGTAAGTTCTCAAAATAATTCTTTAAGTAGTCATATTGTCAGTTTGTTACACATTTAGGCTCAACTATATTTTGCGTTTTGCTTTTGCTATTTTAATTTTTTTCCTTTCATTTGTGATGTATGCACATGGCTCAAAATTGTATATACTGTCTACTTGGAAGTCATGCTTCCATCCTTATCTTCTTCACTAAGTTTGCCTCCCCACTAGATGAATCCATGGTATGTATGTGTATATGTGTGTATATATGTGTGTGTGTGTGTGTGTGTATACACACACACACACACACATTTATTTATTTATTTATTTATTTATTTATTTATTTATTTATTTATTTATTTATTTATTTATTTATTTATTTATTTATTTATTTTAATTTGACCAGAGAGGGGCAGAATGAGAGCAAGAGCAGGAGCGAGAGAGAGAGAGACAGAAAAAGCAAGCTGCCAGATCTGGGACTCTAACTGCAGTCAGCCATGTGAGAGTCCAGTGCCCTTAACCACCACACCACCTGCTGGCTTCTCTGGTATATTTTAGTATCTATTATGTTGTTGAAAAAATCATGACCTATTTTTCTGTTTTTCTATGAAAAATGTGTCATGACTTTCCCAACAATGCAATAGTATGCTAGGACCTCCACCCCCATTATTGTCCTTTATTTCTTTAGGGTGGTAAAGATTATTTTAAAGAATTTGTTTATTTATTTAATGTATGTGAGACAGAGATAGACAAGCACTCTTTAAAAAATTTTTTTTAATCTCTCCATTTATTTATTATAATTTTCAAGCTGCTGGGTATGGAACTTGAACCGTAGTTGGCCATATGGGAATCCAGAGCCTTAACCACAATGTCACCTGCTGGCCCTAGATGAGCACTCCTTTTTCTTTTTTATAAAAAAATAATTATTTATGTAATTTTAAAAATTATTATTTTAAAATTTGCCACAGGACACATGTGCTCACCAGAGAAAGGCAGGGAGAGGGAAAGTGAGAAAACAAGAGGCCAGGTCTGGGACTTGAACAGTGGTCAACCATTTGAGAATCAAGCACCTTAACCACCACGCCACCGGCTGGCCCCTTGATAAGCACTCTTATCTATTCATACACACGGTTCATGAGAGTTTACACTTAAATAATTTCTTTGGAAATTAGATGCGTATTATTAGAAATAAAAAACACAATCTTTGATTTGCTATTGCTGATGAAATAGAAACTCATACAAAGCTGGGTGCAATGATAGTTATTACTGTGCCTTCTGAATAGTAAAAAATGGTTTTGCTATCCATCAGTAACCATTAAAATATTCTCCGACTTTAGTAAGGTTCTCACAATATGACAGATAAAAGAAGTTCTGGGGACCAGCAGTTGGCCTAATGGCTATGTTGCTGGACTCTCATGTAGTTGACCGCGGTTTGAGTCCCAGACGCAGTGGCTTAAGTTCACGTTGGGCGCGTGTGTGTGTGCACCTAAGATCCTGAGAGGAGAATGGAAGAAAAGGGATTGTGATGTGGCCATCCCCTCTGGGGGGTGATTTCTCACTTTCTGTCTCTCTGTCTCTCTCTGTCTTTCTGGCGCACGCATTTGCCCTATAGCAGAAACCTCTCAAAAAAAATTTTTGTATGCAAGAATTAATGCGTTTCGCATGTAAGAAAGTGAATAAAAATGTGAATGCATTTTAACTTTCTCTGTATTATACTTGTTTTTTTTTATGAGCTGATAACAATCATGTTAGATTTTAGTATGAAGAATGTTTTAAAAAAAGAAAGCGCTTGGATCAGCTGGATCAGCAGATGGTGTAGTGGTTACATTGCTGGATTCTCATGTAGCCGACTGTGGTTTGAGTCCTGGACCTGGTGGCTTAAAACTCACGCCAGGCACATGTGCATGCCTGCCCAAAATCCTGAGAGGAGAATGGAGGAGAAGGGATTGCAGTATGGCCATGTCCCCTGGGGAGTGATTTCTTGCTTTCTGTCTCTCTGGCAAGTGTACATTCCCTATAGCAAAACCTCTCTTAAAAAAAAAGAAAATACTCTTTTCTGTTCAAGAGTACACAGATCAGAAGTATTAAAAATTATACTGATAGCCCTTACTGTTCTTGATAGTTGTGTAAAATATAAGATATTTTTATTTCTTTTATTTATTAATTTTTAAAATTTGCCAAAGAGAGACAGAAACAGAGGGAGAGGTAGAAAGCACCATCTCACACCACCCATTGGGGTCTGGTCATGCAACAATCTTTTTTTTTCCTCTGTCCTGCCAGGATTTGGGGCACACCTGCACATGGGCTTGGCATGTTTTTCAGGCCACTGGGCCTGGGAATCTAACCCCATGGTTGTCCATGTGGGATCTGACTCCCTTAACTAGCAGGCCATAGGACCAACCAGACTTTTCTTTCTTTTTCCTTTGTTTAGTTTTTGCTGTCGGCACATGCCCTTGCCAGAGAGAGACAGAAAGAGAGAGTGGGAAGAAAAGTGAGAAGTCACCCTCATGGGAGATGACCATGCCACAATCCCTTCTCCATTCTCCTCTCGGGATTTTGGGCACACATACATATGTGCCTGGCGTGATTGTCAAGCTTCCAGGTCTGGGACTCGAACTTGGTTGACCATGTGGGATCCAGCCACCTTAACCACCAGGCCACAAGCTGGCCCTCTTTGTTTCTTAATACAGGATTTACCAGACTTAATACTACTACCCATTTAGAGACTAAAATTCCATAACTGATGCAGAATTGCAATTTAAAACTTAGAAATTATTCCTGGTATCGCCTTCTTTTGTCTTTGCCTTCTGTTTTCTTTCTTTCTTGTTTTTTTTTGGAGAGGTTTTTGCTACAGGGCACATACACTCGCCAGACAGAGAGAGGCAGAGAGACAGAAAGTGAGAAATCACCCCCCGGGGGAATGGCCACGCCGCAATCCCTTCTCCTCCATTCTCCTCTCGGGATCTTGGGCACGCACGCACACAAGTTCGGCATGAGTTTTAAACCACCGGGTCTGGGACACGAACCGCGGTCGACTATATGGGAGTCCAGCGACATAGCCATTATACTAACTGCTGGTCCCACCTTCTGTTTTCTTGTGGACAAAGGATAAAAAGCCAAGTGCAGGATATTTCCTCTAGAAAAGCCAACTTTTCCATGTGTCTTCTCTAAGCCTGCTTCAGTGTGATGGTACTCATTTTATACACATTTTTTCTTTTCAGCACCTCAAAGACAAGTTCTGGAATTTTATTTTCTACAAGTTCATTTTTATTTTCGGCGTGCTGAACGTCCAGACAGTGGAAGAGGTGGTCATGTGGTGCCTCTGGTTTGCCGGACTTGTATTTCTGCATCTGATGGTCCAGCTCTGCAAGGACCGATTTGAATATGTGAGTTGTCAAGCCTAGTTCTTTGCTTGCCTGGTCACACATTTGCCAGATTTAAATTGCGTGACTGAACCACAGCAGGCATGTCGGGGGAGCTCTCCAGGGGAAGACTCGTCGCCTGTTTCCTGGGGAAGTTTCTGCAGTAGCAGTAAGAGATACAGAATCCTGTCCTAGGGAGATTTCCTCTCGAGCCCCACACTGTGTTATAGTACAGGCCACGTGGGGTCAGGTCGGCTCCACAAACTGTATTGATCACAGTTCAAGGGAACCTGGATACAGAATCTTGATGCAGCTGATCTCCTCTGATTATTTTCTGTTCTATTGTCCTAGTCCCCTCTACCCACACATTCTAGCCACCCCTTTTAATCCTGGCACTTGAAGATTTTCTTTCTGACTGGTTTAAACCTTTTCCCCCTCTGTACTAACGAATGAGCTCTCTCGGTTTCCTTGATCCTGGGAGAAGTGGATCCTTTTCTGTCTGGGTACAAGATCTGCCTGTCGGCCTCAGGTCAGGCCTGTGCAGGTGAACACTCTCACTTGCTCCTTAATGCTCCTGAACGGGTCTCACAATTCTGCCTTCAACTGAACCTACTCTGCGCCTGGCTTGCTCCTGTCTTTACTTAGTCCTGGAGAAGGAAGTGGCCCTTGTCCCTCTGTGAGTTAATCTCCCTCTCAAAGCCTTTACTTGTTTCACAATTCAACCCCCGTTCCAGGAGCTTCCAACCTCCCGAACTGGTTTGTTATCTACACCCACTTCCTCAGGAGCCACAGCCCCAGGTCTTCTTTTCAGGCCCTGGCATCTTGCTCTCCACGCCTGCGAATCCTCCAGGCCTCTTTTTCACGCTCTTGGCTCACACATGATAGTAATATAACATGGTCACAGTGCTCCATCTGCACTGTATAACATTTTGCTTTTCCTAGCCCAGACACTCTAGGAACCTCCTCCAAGTGAGTTTGGGGGAAGATGGTCTACAGCAGGATTGCGAAGGAAATACAGCAGAACATGGCACTGTTCTGGGTCTTGTTGAATATTGGAAAATTATTGTTAGAGGCTGTGGTAGGAAGATTCTTGAGAGTATGAGATGAAAATACAGTGCATCTTGTATTTGGTAAATGAACTGACAATAATCTCTACATATCAGTTCATACTCCTGTTGGAGAATTTTGGCCATATGGTAATGAAATGCTTTTGTACTTAGCATAGATACCCCACACACACACCAAGGGAAGACCCGACGATTGACCTTGAGTTTCTCAGTGCAATTTAAGGGGAAGAAGAATGAATTGTCTTCCCCTCGCCCATTTCAGCTCTCCTTTTCACCTACCACACCGATGAGCAGCCACGGCCGAGTCCTGTCGCTGCTGGTCGCGATGCTGCTTTCCTGCTGCGGGTTGGCAGTGGTCTGCTGCGTCACCGGCTACACCCACGGGATGCACACCTTGGCCTTCATGGCTGCAGAGGTAAGGTGCTGACTGCCCGACTGCCCTGACTCTGTTCCCGTGCATTTTCAGGGACTCTAGAGGAATATTAACTGGTTATTTCACCCATGAAGTACTGGGTAGATGTTTGGTCTTTCCTTTCTCTTTTCTTTTTTTTTTTAATTGCTGGAGAGTCTGTGTGTGTGTTCACCAGAGAGACTGGGAAAGGCACCCCCTTGTGGGGTGTGATAATGGAGCAGTTCCTTCTCCTTCATTTCTCCATCCTATCAGGATCTGGGGAAACACAGCACAAATGTTTTTTAAGCCACCGGGGCTAGGATTCAAACCATAGTCACTATGTGGGATCTAGCTTCCTTAACAGCTGAACAAGTGGGACTGGCCCTGATTCATTTTAACAAGCAGTTACTGTGTTCCTTTTTTGGTGTTGGAGCTTAATACTGAATTTTTTTGTAAAAAAAAGAGATTTTTACTATAGGGCATGTGCCCTTGCCAGAGAGACAGAGAGATAAAAAGTGAGAAATCACCCCCTGGGGGAGGATGGCTACACCACAGTTCCTTCTCCTCCAGTCTCCTCTTGGGATTTTGGGCACACACACATACATACCTGGTGTGAGTTTTAAGCCTCAAGGTCTGGGATTCGAACCTTGGTCGACTACGTGGGAGTCAAGTGACATAGCCATTATGCCATCTGCTGATCCCAGTATTGAATTTTTTTACGTGTGGCATTGCATTCAGTCCTTGCTACATTGTAATAAACATAATTATCTTTGCCAAAAGTCATGATGTATTTCTGTATGTTTTTCTGTGCAAAAATGCATCATGGCTTTTCTGATAACCCAGCATATTCCAGGAAGTATTCTGAATGCTTTACCTGTATTGGCTCATTGTATTGTCCCTATATGTCATCAAAACACTGCCACGAAGGGCTAGGTGAGCTGCTGAAGTTTCGCAAATGGCACATCCAAGTCCTTTGACTCCAGAGTGGGAAGGGCATTCCCCCTAAGATATTATCCACCATGGTTACAATTATTAGTGAAATACTCTATGAATGATATTTTAGCTAGGGTATAAATTCAGATTTTTATACAATAAATATATACACTATGTTCGTTATTTTAAGAAAAAAGGTGAGATACTCATGAATAGTTTTAAATTAAAATAAGTTCATGTTTTTAAAACTTTTTGGAAAATTTTAATTTCTGTTCAGTAGAAATCTGAATCTTATTTGTCCTTATAGTCAGTGACTATATTTGGTCTTTCTTCAGGCCAAAGGCAGAATACTTTTATCTTACTCATAATATCTACTATTAATTTTTTTGTCGTTTTTAAAGAGTTTTTTTGCTATAGGGTGTCTGTGCTCACCAGAGAGACAGAAAGTAAGAAATCACCCCCAGGGGTGGTGGCCATGCTGCAATCCTTTCTCCTTCATTCTTTTGGGATTTTGGACATGAATGCACATGTGTACAGCAATAGTTTTTGGGACTCCAACCTCAGTTGACTCCAGCAATATAACCATTACACCATCTGCTGGCCTCTCTCTACTATTAATTTTTTAAATCTTATTTAACTTTATTTATTTTAATTTGACCAGAGAGAGAGAGAGAGAGAAAGTGAGAAAGCAGGCCACCAGATCTGCGACTCAAACCCAGGGTCAGCTATGTGGGAGTTCAACACCCTTAACAACCACGCCACCTGCCGGCCCCCTATCTACTGTAATTAATTTTTAAAATGAAATATTAGCTATTCCAAAAAGAATTAGCTAAGCTCAAGTCAAGTAATACAAGCAAGTTAAGTTAGAATTGCTAGTTGAGAATTTGTTAGAGCAGTGCTAAAATTTGTTTTTGCCGGTGGACCAGGAGATGGTGTAGTGATAAGGGCGCTGGAGCCCACATGACCTATTGCATAGTTTGAGTCCCAGACCTGGCAGCTTGAAAAACATGTCAGGTGTGTGCATGCCCAAAATTCTGAGAAGAGAATGGAGAAGGGATTGTGACATGGCCGTTCCTCCTGAGGGGTGAGTCCTTGCTTTTCCTGTGTCTCTCTTTCCCGTAAGCACATGTGCCCTATAGGGGAAAAAATATCTTCTAAAAAAATTATTTTTTGAGACCAGCCAGGGTCATAGTGGTTAACCACGGTTTGAGTCCCAGACCTGGTAGCTTAAAACAAACCAGGCAGGTATGCGTGCATACCCAAATCCCGAGAGAATGGAGGAGACGGTATTGCAGCATGACCCTTTTCCCTGGGAGGTAATTTCTCACTTTCCCTCTTAATGTCTCTCTTTATCACTCTCTGGCAAGTGCATGTGCTCTATAACAAAAACCTTAAAAAATTTTTGTTTTGCCTATTATATCCATTTCAGAGTCCAATATAGTAGTAAGTAAATTAGAAAAGGACCATATATATACTTAATGAAAACATGCATTTCTTTTTTTTTTTTAAGTATCTTATTTAACTTTATTTGTTATTATTGTTATTGTTATTTTTTTTTTTCTCTGTAGGGCACGTGCGCTCGCCAGACAGGCAGAGAGAGACAGAAAGTGAGAAATCATGCCCCAGGGGGCATGGCCATGCCGCAGTCCCTTCTCCTTCGTTCTCCTCTCGGGATCCTGGGCACACACACACACTTGCCCGGCATGAGTTTTAAGCCACCGGGTCCGGGATGTGAACCGTGGTCAACTACGTGGGAGTCCAGCGACATAGCCATTATGCTAACTGCTGGTCCCGTTATTGTTATTTTTAATTTGATCAGAGAAGCAGAGAAAGACAGAGAGAAAAGGAAAGTGAGAAAGCAAGCTACCAGGTCCTGTACTTGAACCATGGTTGGCCATGTGGCAGTCCAGCACCTTTAACCTCCACACCACCTGCTGGTCCCAAAATGCGTTTCTAATGGAATACTTTTTGTATATGACAGTACAGATATCTTTCCTCTTGAAAAATTTTGTTTAAAATTTTATTTATACTGACATACTAATTAGTTTGCTTTATTTGTATTTTATTATGAAACACTATTTGAATGATACTTATGTTTGTCTTTTTTGGTTCTTTGACTTTTAGTTGGTATTAAGGCAAACTTTGGAAAAGATACACCTAAAAATAAGCACATTTAAATTAGCCCTGTTGGGTCATTCTATAGCAAGCATATACTTTTATTCTAGCTTAGTTTTATGTCTGTATGTATGTACGTTTTTGCCATAGGATGCATGCACTCACTGCAAAGAGACAGTGAGAGAGAAAGTGAGAAATCACCTTCGCAGAGAGGATGGCCACACCACAATCCTTTCTCCTGCATTTTCCTCCTGGGTTTTGGGCACACACACACACACACACACGCGCATCCGGTGTGAGTTTCAAGCCTCCAGGTCTGGACTTGAACTGTGGTCAGCCATGTGGGAGTCCAGTGCCTTAACCAGTACATCACCTGCTTGTCCCCTTTATTTATTCTTTTAAGATAATTTATCATGGTAAAGATTTGGTATTTTGAACTAAATTATATTTCTTATACTCATAGTGTTTTCTCTCATGTAAAATATTTTTTATTTATTAACGTGAATTTAATGTCAAACATAAGTAACATAACAGTTCTATTCTGGTAGATTATTTTTAAAGAATTATTGATTTATTTAATTCCATTTGTTATTATTTTTTATTTTGACCAGAGAGAGACAGAGAGAGAGAAAAAGGGAAAGCGAGAAAGCAAGCCGCAGGTCCGGGACTTGAACCGCAGTCTGCCATGTGGCAATCCAGTGCTCCTAACCACCACACCACCTGCCAGCCCTGAGGACATTTTAGTAATATCAATTATTACAACAAAAAATTATCATGAGAACCGTATTTTGTTTTTTTACTTTCTTCATTCCCTTTTCTTGTGGTGGACAAAGGGAGTGTACAAAGGTTTCATATCCTGGACAGTAGTGCCTGAACTCCAGACTGTGAGTTAAAATGTCACCCAACAGTCAGATACTCTTTGAGGTCACAAATAGTGGTGACCCTATGTAATGTAACATGGAAGTGATTGTCAAACTTCTGGAACAGACCTCAAGGTTGCAGAAGGCCGGTGTCCTAGGAGATGGCCAGGGTAATTAATTATTACGTACTTACAGGAGAAGGCTCAATTAAAGTTGAGTTTGGGGCCCAGCAGGTGGTATAGTGGTTAAGGCACTGGACTCTCCTATGGCAAACTGTAGTTTGAGTCCCAGACCCAGAGGCTTGAAACTCATGCTAGGCGTACGTCCACGTATGCCCAAGACTTTGAGAGGAGAATGGAGGAGAAGGCACCGCCATCCTCTTGGGGGGTGACTTCTCACTTTCACTGTCCATCTTGCTCTGTTTCTCCAGCAAGTGCAAGATGAATATCTTATAGCAAAAATCTCTCTCTCTAAAAAAAAAGTTGTGTTTTTAGGTCATGAAAACAGTCCATGGAAATTTGAAGCAGAGGATATGAAATGGTTGGTAAACTTGAACAATCTGCTTTTTAATTCAACTAAGAAATGTTTCTCTTTGATCTTTTTATAAAAGTAAGTTTGGCCTGAAGAGTCTTAAATTTTACTAAAAAAAAAAAAAAATCCCCTTTTTTACAGTCTCTTCTTGTGACAGTGAGGACTGCTCATGTGATTTTACGGTAAGTAGAAATTTGGGAGGGAAGTGATTGAGGTCAACTCATACAAGTTGATTTTAAGGATATAATCAGTATAAAATATATAAAAATACGAGTAAACTATAACATGATTAGACCAAATTCAGTCACAGCAGGCACTTATTAGGCTGTTTGTCTTTTCTCTATCTCTATATTGCAGATACGTAATTCACCTCTGGGACCTCAACCACGAGGGCACCTGGGAAGGAAAGGGAACGTATGTCTACTACACAGATTTTGTCATGGAGCTCACTCTCCTGTCCTTGGACCTCATGCACCATATTCACATGTTGGTAAGTTCCCTTATAAGGAGCTCTAGTGGGAGGCTGAGGTTTTCAGAATCAGGATCCAGGTTTGTACATTTAAAAACGAAAACGCTTGGGTCTGTCAGTGCCACATTGTGGTGCAGGCAGTAGTGTGCTGCTTGCCGATGCTAGAGCCACCTGAAAGACTGTGGCGCAGCTCCTGGGTTGTCCTGAAACACACTGGGAGCATGCTGGAGGGCTGGGTGGGGATTGGGGCATGATGAGACCCTGGGGAGAAGAGTCTGTTTCTCTCTTTTTTTCTCTCTCTCTCCCTCTCTCTGTCTGTCCCTCTTTCTTCATGAAAGAAAGAAAATAATTAAACTTAGAAAAATAAAATACTTGGCATAAGATGTGACTGAACACTCCAGAGACTATAAAAAGGAATATGGCTGTGTACTCGCCCTGCTTTTGCCACTGGGTGTAAAGCGATGTGATGTCATGGATCTGCTTTGGTGGGTGCCTAGCTCAGGAGGTGTTTGCTGTCCTAGCTGTCTTAGTTTTATCTCTGCTGACCAAGTCAATAGGTGCTTCTTTTTTTTTTTTTTTTTTAAGAATTATTTTACTTAACTTTATTTATTTTTAATTTGACCAGAGAGGGACAGAGCAAGAGCAAGAACAAGAGAGAGAAAGTGAGAAAGCAAGCCGTGATTTTTTTGGGTGTGAAATTTAGCATAGTTTTTATGACTTTTAATATTTAGCAGTTCCTTTGTAGGTGGTGGTAGGAATTCCTGTAGTGTTAGCTACTTCATGGATTTCATACATATTTCATTTTTGTAATTAAAACAAAGTTTTTTCTACTTAATTCTTTCATTGTTTATGTTTACATTTTACCTTGGCATTAAAAATTACAGAGTTGTAAATCTGATTCATTGGTTGGTGCTTCAGCAATCTATTTATGGTGAGAGTCGTGGGCAATTTGTTTACATTCTAACCCTACTAAAATAGCCTTTGAAAATTAGTGGGTTAGACACAGCACATTTCTTTTCCCCCCGCTCCCTTTTTTTTTTTTTTTTTTTTTTTTTTTTGTGCCAGGGTGTGAATGCACTCACCAGAGGTAGACAGAGAAAGAGGGAGGGAGAAAGCATCCCCCAATGGGGCATGATCACAATCCCTTCTTCCTGTCAGGATTGTGGACATGCACACATTGCGCCTGACTTATTTTCAAGCCCCTGGGCCAGGATTTGACCACTGCGATCTGCCATGTGGAATCCAGCTCCCTTAACTGTCAGGCCACTGAGCCAGCCTGACATGGCATATTTCTACTTTTTGGAAGTAACTCTGAAAACACACTTTAAAAAAATAGCATGTTAATTCTTTTGTTTTAAAACAGTAGCCATGCCTGCCAAAAAGGAGAACACAGTTGCTCAAGCATAATTGTTAACATTTTGTTAAATTTAACTGGTTCTTTATATATTTAAATACATACATTCATAAACTGAGCTTATATTTTGGACATACAGTTTAGTTTATTTTTTAGTTTATTTATTTTTTCTTTTTATTTATTTATTTATTTATTTATTTGGAGAGGTTTTTGCTATAGGGCGCGTGCGCTCGCCAGACAGACAGAGAGAGACATAGAGACAGAAAGCGAGAAATCACCCCCTGGGCGGGATGGTCATGCCGCAATTCCTTCTCCTCCATTCTCCTCTCGGGATCTTGGGCACGCACGCACATGTGCCCAGCGTGAGTTTTAAGCCACCGGGTCCGGGACGCGAACCGTGGGAGTCCAGCGACATAGCCATGACGCTAACTGCTGGTTCCCTAGTTTAGTTTTCTTAACTGATATGTTAATGAACATTTTCCTGTGCTGGTGCATTGTACTAAACTCTTTTATAGTTTATTTATGTATGTATTTATTTATTTATTTATTTGCCAGAGGGCCTGTTTGCTCAGTGGAGAGAGACAGAAAGAGAGAGAGGGAAAGTGAGAATGCATCCTCTTCCCTCCTCCTATCCCTGTGTGGGGATGGTCACATAGCAATCCTTTTTTCTCCATTTCTCCCTCCTGTCAAGATTTGGGGCTTCCACACACTTGTGCCTGGCATTTTTTAAGGTGACTGGAACCACACAGTTGGCCATATGGTATCCAGCTACCTTAACCACCACACCATCAGCTGGCCCCTAATTCCTTTTAGTACATTAAAGACAAATATCTCATCATGTAGATGTACTGTGATTTAATTAAGCAAACCCTATAATGGGCTATTTGGGTTGTATTCAGTTTGCTATACCACATCTTTATATATCTTTTTAAATCAGGCATTAGTCTTTTTAAGGAAGATCCTTTTATTTCACTTAACAAATATTAAGTTGTATATATAAATTGTTCTATATAAATATATGTAATTATATACTATAATAAATATAATTAATAACTACATAATATTAAATTTTACTGGGCATTTTGTTTGTTTCTGTATTTTCTTTTTTTCAATTGCATGGATGAGCAATTTTTTGCATAAAGCTTTCAAATTTCTGATTAGTTTCTCAGGAAAGATTGCTAGTGATGAGATTCATAGGTGAAGAGCATGCACATTGTTTAGGGGAATGGGATAAACATACATGTATTTACTTTGTGAAAGATTATTCCGGTTCATCTTAACCAGCAGTGAAGAGCTTCTTTCACATATAGTACCTTCATCATTAGCGAGTTCACATTCATTTTTATTATGGATTTTGTTCTCTTTCTCTCTAAGTTATTTGGCAACATCTGGTTATCCATGGCCAGCCTGGTCATCTTTATGCAGCTGCGTTACCTGTTTCATGAGGTCCAGCGTCGGATCCGTCGGCACAAGAACTATCTGCGTGTCGTTGGGAACATGGAAGCCAGGTAAGTAAGCATGGTTGACGTCGCCCAGGTTTACCCATTGTGGCCCAAGTCCTTGGCTCTGTCAGAACTCACTTCTGTGAATTGTTACCAGAATGATGAGGAGTATAGGCTCTGGAATTTGACTCCTTGGGAAGAAATTCCCACTTGGTTTTGGAGCAATTTATTTAACTTTCTGTGCCCCAGTTACGTCACCTCTAAAATAGAGATAACAGAACCTTCTTCCTGGAGCTCCAGGATTCTGTGAGATAATTCATGTAGTTAGTGCTCAATAAATATTAAGTTGTTTTGTTGTTATTATTAAATGGAAGTTTCCTGGGGACGAGCAGATGACATAATGGTTACATCACTGGACTTCCACATAATTGACAGCAGTTCAAGTCCTGGACCTGGTGGCTTAAAACTCACACCAGGCACGTGTGCATATGTGCCCAAAATCCCAAAAGGAGAATGGAGGAGAAAGGATTGCAGCATGGCCACCCCTCTGGGGGGTGATTTCTCGCTTTCTGTCTCTCCAGCGAGTGAACACACCCTGTGGCAAAAATCTCTCTTAAAAAAAGGAAGCTTCCTTGGGCTTCTGCCTCTATTTTGTGAAGGTGGATCTCAGTTATTCTTTGCACTTGGGTGTTTACACATATATATGCAACTATGCAACCTCACTGAAGTAGGCACTTACTTGCATCCCAAGCCTGAAGGTACAAGATTAGTGAGTTTTCTTTCTGTATGTGAGAGACAGTTGGATCTCTGGGTGGTCTTATTTTTCCGATTTGCCCAGAAACGCTCCCCGAAATCACTAAGAGGAGCCATTACTAGAACAAAGTTTGTTTCTGTGCATAAGTTTCTCTTTGATGGACTATGAAGAGATACTGGATATAATAGTGTTGATTGTCAAAAAAACTTTTTCTGAACAGGAGTTCTCTATAATTGTGCTGTTAAAGAGATGAAGTCTATAAAGTGATGTTTGTATGGAAGGGGTCTTCAAAAAGTTTATGGAAAATGCATATTGTGGAAAACCATCCACATATTTATTTATTTTTGTTTAAGTTTTTAAAGAATTATTAATTTATTTAATTCCATTTGTTATTGTTTTTAATTTGACCAGAAAGAGACAAAGAGAGAGAGAAAGGAAAAGCAAGAAGGCAAGCTGCCAGGTCCAGGACTTGAACCGTGGTTAGCCGTGTGGGAATCCAGTGCCATTATCCACCATGCCACCTGCTGGCCCTTATTATTATTTTTAAAATAATTATTTATCTACTTAATTGTATTTGTTGTTATTATTAATTTTGCCAGAGAAAGGGAAAGTGAGAAAGCAACCCACCAGGTCTGGAACTCAAATCATGGTTGGCCATGTGGGAATCTAGAACCTTAACCACCATGTCACCTGCCGGACCCCGATACATGTATTTAATAAATGTTCTATACCAATATAAACTTGTACTTGAATTTGTAATTGATTTGTATTGAGCCAGTTTGTGGTATGGTGGGAATCCACATGCCTGGCTACACAGGTTGAGTCCTGGATCTGGCTCTTGAGAAGCATGATGGGCACGTGTATGTGCATATCCAGAATTCCAAAAAGAGGGAGAGATGGAGAAGGGATTGCAACATGACCATTCTCTGTGGGGGGTGCGTTCTCTTTTTATAAAAATTTTTTTTTATTTTTTATATCTCTGTTCTCCAGTGAGCACATGCTCTATGGCAAAATAAAAAAAAAAGTTTTAATAAAAAAAAATTCACGATAGAGTATGTGTACTCCCATGTGGGAGTAAGAGATAGATGCACACCCAAAGGGTGCGGTCATGCTGAAGTCTCCTTCATCCAGTCCACTTTGTAGATCTTAGGCACTGGCATATGTGTCCAGTTGCTTGAGGCTGACCAGACTGGGAATTCAAACTGTGGCCACCCTGTGGGATTTGGCTTCTCTTGAGCAGTATATTACCTCTGTGCCATAAAGCTGGCCCTAAACTTGTGGTTTAATTTCACTTGCCAACAAACTTTTTGAAGTCTCCTGTCTTAGTCTGGGTGCTGTGTTGGTAACAGAAATACCTGCGACTGGGTGATTCATAAAACATAGAGGTTTATCTGACTCGTGAGTCTGATGGCTGGAAAGTCCAGAGGCACGGGTGGATCTGGCATCTGTCTGACCTATGTCACAACCTGGTTGGCAGAAGCATGGAGGGTGGTGGTGCATGCAGAGAGAGACATGGAGGCAACCATCTTCCTTTTACAATAACCCACTCGTGGGAGCACTAGAACTCATTCACTCTCACAGATCCATTCTTGAGGGTGATGCCTCCATGAGCCAACACCATCCACCAGGTCTCACCTCTTGAAGGTCTCACCACCTGCCCAAACCATTACAGTGGGGACATGAGCTTTTGGGGGATAAACCATTACCCAAACCATACTACTTCAGTGTGTGTGTGTGTGTGTGTGTGTGTGTGTGAGAGAGAGAGAGAGAGAGAGAGAGAGAGAGAGAGAAAGAGAGAGAGAGAGCCAGACAGAGACACAGAGAGATGCTGGACTTGTTTTGTTTTTCTGTAGGTTTGCAGTTGCAACTCCAGAGGAGCTGGCTGTCAATAATGATGACTGTGCAATCTGCTGGGACTCCATGCAGGCTGCGAGGAAACTGCCCTGTGGACATCTTTTCCACAAGTAGGAGCTTTGTGAAGGGCCGTAGGGCTGGTGTACTGTCTGGAGCGTGGGGGTGCTTTTTGTGCCTGCGACCAAGGCTAATATTGTTAGAAGGTGGGATTGTTACCTCAGAATGGCCTTGTTGCTGAGACTGAGCATTTTGGAAAACTTTGGGGTGTCCTTTACCCCTTAGCCTCTTCTCTACACTGCAGGACTCGTCCACACCCATGTTCACTATCTTAATTTCTGGGTATGTTAAGTGCTGAGGTATAGTCTATATGCCTGTAAGATTTAAAAAGGAAGAATTTGGGGGGAATCCTTGCTTTAAAACAGTTTAGGACCTAACTGGGGAGAGAGAGTATATATTTTTGTATTTTGGACATGCCCCAAAGAAGTGAACTGAACCGAGGACTAGCTTAGTGGGTTACTAAGCCATGCAGGACAGGCCGTGTTATCAAAGATTGTTAAATAGGCTCTTCCGTGAACCTTCAGGGTTGTGGGAGGGCTGTTATTTTCAGAGATCTCATTGGGGCTTTGTCTGTTAAACCTAAATCATTTTGTTTATAGGTTTTCTATTTTGTTGCTGTGTTTTTTTGTCTTTTGTAACCTGTGGTCAGTTTTGCATATGGAAAATTTTTATTTTATATCTTTAATCTTTCTTTCCTTACTTTATATTCCCCAATAGTTTTTCTTTTGCCTTTTAAGATTAGAAGGGCTCTAGAGCTGGAACATTCGACTCAACAAATTTATTGATACATATATATTTTTAATATGTAGGGTGCTTGGGCTGAGAATGACAGATAAGGTCTTTGCTTTCATGGACTGTACAGTCTCATGGAGGAGACAAGCATGAATTAACCAGGCTAGTTTATGAATCTATCAGTATAAATTGAGATAAGTATGCTATAAGAAAGGAACTTGTTCTTGTGAGCTCGTAAGAAAGGAATCTGACTCAAACTTGGCAGAAGTGACTCTTGAGGATGAGTAGCAAGTCAGCAAAGGAGAGATTAGGTGGGAGAGTGTTTGAGCACCTCTGCAGCAGGAGAGACTATGGCGTATTGAAAGAACGAAGACAACCTGTGCGACTGGAACTCAGTGTAACAGGGAGGGGTGTTTGCTAAGGTAAGGAATGCAGGCAGTGTCTTGTGGGCCACTGGAAGGAGTAAGAAGTCACCATGACTTTTAAGTATGGGTTGGTGGTAAGATTTGCAGCTTGAAAACATCAAAAAGACTAGTTAGTAACTACTGGAGTGGATTAGGAGTGTATTACATATAGCTTGGACTGTGCTGGTAGAAGTGGAGAGGAATGAGCAGATTTAGGCAGGATTAGGAGGGATGTGCTAGATGGACTGTGGGAAAGTGAGGAATAAAAGGGGTGTCGGAGTTCTCCACCCTTTATAGCTTGTGCAGTGGGATGTACAGTGGTATACAGTGGTGCTCTTTGTGGAGCTTGGGAAGTCCAGAGCATTCACACATATTTCTAAAAAACCTTTCAGTTTTCCCAAAGGAGCTTGGAGGCTATTTGGGAAGAAGAACTCAAAATTTTTTAGCCCAGAGGAAATATTTTCAAGCGTATGATTAGATTAATTTTGGGTTTGATTTTTTTTTTTGATTGAGGCAAATTCAGATAACATACAATTAACCATTCCAAGTGTACAGTTGAGTGGCATTTAGTGTATTCACAATGTTGTGCAATCACTACTTCTTCAGTTTCAAAACTTCCACCACCCCAGAATAACACCCCAATCTTACTGACTGACTAGTCAGTTCCTGTTCTCTCTGCTTCATCCCTGGTAACCAACAATCTCATGCTTTTGGTCTCTGGATTCATCTCTTCTGGACATTTTGTACAAAAGGAGTCATACAATACTGTCACCTTTCATCAGTGGCTCATTCATATAATGAAATGTTTGGAGGTCACCCAAGTTGTAGCATATATCCATACATCGTTTATTTTTTGTTAGAATTATTAATTGAATTTTTATTTATTATTATTTAAATTTGCTATAGGGCACATGGTACTTACCAGAGAGAGAAAGTTAGGAAAGCAAGCCTCCAGGTCTGGGACTCAAACTGTGGTCATGTGGGAGTCTAGTGCCTTAGCCACCATGCCCCATGTCATTTGTTTTTATGGCTAATTTTAAATAATTTTAGAATAATTAATTTGTAAAAAATATTTGCAAACAACATTGTAAATAAATAGGGCCATCTGCTGTCCCTACTTACGTGCTCTTTTATGGGCCTACAAGTAACTTTTAAAGCACAGGTCAGTGGCACTATAAACAGTCACATTATTATGCCTCCTTGGGCACCATCTGTCTCCAGAACTTTTTCATCTTCCTAAACTGAGACCATGCACCCATGCTACTATAAATCCCCCTTCTGCTCTCCCTTTAGTCCTTGGCAATAACCATTCTATTTTCTGTCTGTGCATTTGACTATTCTAGGTGCCTCTGTTGGGTTTTGGTTTAGTTTACTCTTTTCCTGATTCCATAGGTATAATGTTAGGTTGTTGAGGAACCAGCAGATGGCATAATGGTTATGTTGCTAGACTCCCATGTAGTTGATTGTGGTTCGAGTCTCAGACCAAACAACTTAAAACTCACACTGGGCATGTGCATACATGCCCAAAATCTCAAGAGGAGAATGGAGAAGGGATTGCGGCGTGGCCATACCCCACTGGGGGTGATTTCTTGCTTTTTGTCTCTCTGTCTCTCTGGTAAGCACACTCTCCCTATTGTAAAAATCTCTGTTAAAAAAAAAAAAAATTGAAACTAGCAGATGGCAAAATGGTTTTGTTGCTGGATTCCCACATAGACAACTACGGTTTGAGTCCTAGACCTGTTGGCCTAAAACAGCCCAGGCACGTATGTGTATGCCCGAAATCCCGAGAGGAGAATGGAGGAGAAGGGAATACAGTTTGGCCATCCTGCCAGGGGGTGATTTCTCGCTTTCTGTTTCTCCAGCAAGCACATGTGCCCTATAGCAAAGATTCTCTTAAAAAAAAAAAGTTAAGTTGTTGATTTGAGAGCTTCTGTTTTAGCATTTTAACTTGCACCTTGTTTTTGCTACATCTTAAAAGTTGTGGTATTTTCTGTTTTTGTTTTCATTGGCCTCAATGTATTTAGTAATTTCCCAAGTGATTTCAACTTTCATGTAATGGTTATTTAAGAGTTAGAATTTATTTATTTTATTTAGTTGTTTTTTAAAGGTTTTTAGCATAGGGTGTTACATGCTTGCAGAGAGAAAGAGACATGAGAAGAAAGTGAGAAATCACCCTTGAGGGTGGCTAGCCATACCGTAATCTCTTCTCCTCCATTTTTTTCCCGAAATTTTGACAGGTACGCACATGTGCCCAGTGATTTTCAAGCCACTAGTTCCAGGCCTTGAACTGCGGTTGGCCATATGGAAGTCCAACACCTTAACCATCATGCCATTTGCTGGCCCCTTAACATTTTTTGTTTGGTTATTTAAAAAATCTTGCCAGAAAGCACGTGTGCTATCTGTGGAGTGAGAAGGAAGGAGAGAGGCCAGCAGGTGGTATGGTGGTTAGGTTACGGGACTCCCACATAGCTGACTGCAGTTTGGGTCCTGGACCTAGCAGCTTGCTTTTCCACTTTCCTTCTCTCTCTCTCTCCTGGGGTCTCTGGTGAATGCATGTGCCCTATAGCAAATAAAAAAATAATAATAGCGATAAGTGACATTAAATAAATAATTCTTTAAAGAAAAGAAAAGAAAGAAAAAGAGGGAAAAAGTGAAAAAGCAAGAAAGTACTCCTCGTGGGGAATGGTCATGCCACGATCCCGTCTCTTCCATTTCTCCCACCCTGTGGGATTTGGGACCTGCATGCACACAAGCCTGATGTGTTTTTTCAAGCCTCCAAGTCCAGGACTCAAACTGCACAGTTGGCTTAACCACCACATCACAAGGTGGCCCTGGTATTTTATTATTTCAAAATGTGATAGAGTTGGATGTTTAGAGACAGATTTCATTATTTGGAACATTACTGTCACCTTCTTTTTTTTTTTTTGGAGAAGTTTTTCTGCTATAGGGCATGTGCGCTCGCCAGACAGACAGAGACAGAGAGCAGAGAGACAGAAAGTGAGAAATCACCCCCCAGGGGGGATGGCCACACCGCAGTCCCTTCTCCTCCGTTCTCCTCTCAGGATCTTGGGCACGCACGCACACGCGCCTGGCATGAGTTTTAAGCCACTGGGTCCTGGATGCGAACCGCGGTCGACTACGTGGGAGTCCAGCGACATATCCATTATGCTAACTGCTGGTTCCCTACTGTCACCTTCTTAAGACACACAGAAATAGTAAAAGTAGCTCTACGCCTCTGGTAAAGTTTCGTCACTCAAGCACTATTCAGTTGCTAGAGACTGACAGATTCTCAAAAGGCAAAGAGAGGCATAGAGCATTTTTACTCAGTGTTTCCTTGAACTCTTGGGAAAAGATGACACATTCTCATGAGATGGGAAGGGACCTTGGATATAACTTCATCCAGCCGTCTCATTTTACTGGAGGGTACTACGCCAGAGAGCTTGAAGGACTTGCCTGGGTCACCTAGCTAGGCAGTTGGTAGAGTAGGGACTAGACCTCAATTTTTTTTTTTAAAGCTTTTGCTGGAGAGTGCATGCACTAGCCAGAGAGACAGAAAGGGAGGGGAAGAAAGCACTCCCCATGAGAAATGGTCACATGGAATCCCTTCTCCTTCATTTTTCCATCTCTTTGGAGATGCACATGCACATGGACCCAGCATGTGTCTCAAGCCACTGGGTCTGGGACTCAAACCATGGGGTCAGCCATCAGATCTGGCCATCTTAACCACAAGGCCATGGAATCAGCCTCAGATCTCAGATTTTCTACTTCATATTCTAGGACTATTTTTTTTTTCTTTTTTGGACTTTGCTCTTTAATGGACACCGTAAGTATTTATTTGTTTTTTTGGAGAGGTTTTTGCTGTAGGGCGTGTGGACTCGCCAGAAAGACAGAGAGAAACAGAGAGATAGAAAGCAAGAAGTCCCCCCTTGGGGGGATGGCCATGCCACAGTCCCTTCTCCTCCATTCTCCTCTTGGGATCTTGGGCACGCACGTATACACGCCTGTCGTGAGTTCAAGCCCCACCGGATCCCAGACTCAAACCGCAGTCAGCTACATGGGAGTTCAGTGACATAGCCATTACACTAACTGCTTGTCCCACCATAAGTATATTTTGAGTGTCTGCTGTAATTAGGACACATTATCATCTGAAAGGACAAAATAAATTTTCAACCTTGTTGAGAAAAAGAGGGCAAAGAGGAATGGGTAGAAGAAGTCAAGGTGGAGAATGTAAGGGAGTGGGGACGGATAAGCTGTTGGGTTGTTGGGAAGGTCATGACGTATTTTTGCATGGAAAAACAAAAATACGTCATGACTTTCCCAATGACCTACTAGGTGAAGAGGGAGGTAGGAACCTGAGGGGCTGTCATGCTTGATGGTGAAGTGGTGGTATCAGTGGGTGTGAAGCCTTAACAGTGTAGGTCCAGAGAAGTGAGTTGCAAGGAGAGTAACTTGAGTGTGAGTGAGATTTTGAAGACTAGGCCAGGATTATAACCAGATTACTTGGTAGCTAAAGTAGAGAGAAGGAAAAAGATTATTTGAGTGAAGGATTCAAAAACATCCAGGGTGTTAGATGATTCAGCTACATGGATTTTGAAGTAGTCAAATGAATGGAGTTGGAAAGGAAGGGGGTAAGCCTTGCTGTGTAGTCTTACTGAAGAGGGGTCATGGCCAGGAGTGCAGTAGGTGACTACACCTTGTAAAGAATCCACGTTCATGTTCATGGCAGAGCAGGTAAGAAGCAGGCTAGAAGCATGTCAGAATAAAGTAGGGTAAAGGGTGATGTCCACTTATGTTACTGAGTATTTAAATCTCACTAGTGGTAGATAGAAAGTAAAACAGGAACAGGGCTGATACATTCAGGTGTTTTTGGTGAATTCAGAACAATTGAGCTTGTTCACATGTCTTATTTTGGACTTTTTGGTAGCTCCTGTCTTCGTTCCTGGCTAGAACAAGACACCTCCTGCCCGACATGCAGAATGTCTCTCAATATTGCCGACAATAATCGGGTCAGGGAAGACCATCAAGGAGAGAACCTGGATGAGAATTTGGTTCCTGTAGCAGCAGCCGAAGGCAGACCTCGCTTAAACCAGCACAATCACTTTTTCCACTTCGATGGTTAGTTGGTTTCAACCTCTAAAACCACACCAAGTGGTTTTGTCCCCTAATAAGGGGATGCTGTTTTTTATTTTTGTTTGTTTGTTTTTTGAGAGAGATTTTTTTTTTTTTTTTAGCTATAAGGGACTTGTACTCACCAGAGAGACAGAAAGCGAGAAATCACCCCCACACACACACCCAGGGGAATGGCCACACCGCAATCCCTTCTTCTCCATTCGTCTCTCAGGATTTTGGGCATGCATGTACATGTGCCCAGTGTGAGTCCCGGACCTCAAACTACGGTTGGCCATGTGGGAGTCCAGCGACGTGACCATTATGCCGTCTGCTGGTGCCAGGGATGCTGTTTTAATTATAAGTTTTCCTATACAGACTGTTTAATATTACACTTAGTTGAAAGTGTTCAGGATGTACAGACAGGTAAAACTGAGGGCTGCTTCTACGCCAGACGTTCTACTAGATTCTGTGTCAGTATGGGTGGGGCAGGGTGGGGGCAGGGAGGTGCATTAACCATGCCTTCAGGGAGCACACTTAATTGGTTTCATAGTTAACCTTTGCTGATAATTGATCGCATTGTTGTAGCATTTACACATATAAAGAAGGGTCATGGATTAGCCTTTCCAGCAAGTACCAGAAATAGCAGAGTTGGACAGACCCCTGTTGCTTTGTTCATAAAGTATGAATGTTCTGCCTCCCAGCAGTATGGAAAGGAATTGTGATAAAAGCTACACTTAAACTTCTAAGGCCATGGGTCCCATATCAGGGCTGATTACCATCCTTCCTTAACTCACATTACATTGAGTTGATGTTTCAGCTTTTCATCAATTCTAATACCCCCAAACTCTTGAGTTCATGGTTCTAATTATTACTGTAACACAAGCATCCCTGGAACTTTGTTAGGAACAGTGCTACTCAGATTTCTGTTGCGTGTTTTCAAGGTGGAGTGTGGTGGGAATGATGGCTGGTCAGTGAAATCCCTGAACAGAAAGACCAAGGGGAGAAGAGTCAAGTCTCTGAGAAGAGCAGATCAGGCGGCTTGGCTGGTCGGGCCCAGGATAGGCCGGGTATCAGAGAGGCTGGTTTGTTGCTGTTAATTAAGACCTCTCCCAGCTCAGACTTCTGAAATATATTAATGGATCTGGGAACTGGATCCTGGCTAATGTAATCCATTATTCTGTGAGTTATTATTACTTAAAATTTAGTGAAAGTCAGCTTTTTTTCTCCCTAATAAGTATGTAAATATATATTTTTTTCAGTTTGTCTCTCTCTCTCTCTCTCTTTTTTTTTTTTTAGTTTTTGCCATAGGACACCAGAGAGAGAAAGTGAGAAATCACCCTGCAGGGGGAATGACCGCACCTTGATTTCTTTTCCTTTATTCCTCTTGGGATGTTGGGCACACATGCACTTCTGCGCACACATCTAGCGTTATTTAAAACCTCTGGGTCTGGGTCTTGAACCACAGTCGGACATGCAGGATTCAGCTGTCCTAACGACCATGCCACTGGCTGTCCCAGTGTTCATTTTTTTTTAATGGATCCTGTTTCTTTGGCAAGACCTTTGAAATGACCACTTAACTTGATTTTATATTCCATGCATGCCTCAGTGCTTCTTTGAAAAGGAATGAAAAAGTACCTTTAAACAAGTGACTTCATATTGAGTTGCTTTACAGCCAGTATTTGGTGGTGTTACATCTTGGGCTCCCCTTTCTTGGGAAATAATGGTGTTGTAGAATTCTTCGAAAAGAAGTCTGAATCAGAAAACAGCATCTTGTTAGTCGGATTATTAAGGAGAAAGCATTTCATAAAAGTATCGTGAAGGAGCAGTAATGTGTAGATAGCGTGTGAGGGAGGAGCAAAAACTCAGCTGGCGCAGCAGCTCTGAAGCATGAAGACCTTCCTTATATTCCAGGCTGAAAAAGTGGGCTGGGGTTGTGTGGCTCAGGGGCCACTAGACTGCTGGAGAACTTAGTGGTAACTCGTTGTAGAACCTGGCTGTCTGGCTTCTCATCCTGGCCATCATCACTAAACTGCTTATCTTGATGAGCTACCTAATTTCTAGTGCTTTAGGGACCAAAGACCAAGACGAACATCAAATCTCTAAGAAGAATAAAATAATAATAATTGGAGGTACCATGTGGAGTTTTCATGAGGATTAAATGAGCTAATCCACGTGCCACGTGTCACAAAAGGCTTGGCATAAAGGAAGCCCTTAGTGATGACCAGCTGTTAGGCTAGAGTGGCCGGCCAGTCTGGAGTAGGAGACGTGGGGGAAAAGAGGTCTCTAAAACTCACTTGTTTTCTCGTTCGTTTTAGGGTCTCGGATTGCAAGTTGGCTGCCCAGTTTTTCTGTGGAAGTGATGCACACCACCAACATTCTTGGCATTACCCAGGCCAGCAACTCTCAGCTTAATGCAATGGTAAGGACCACTGACTGCTTTAAGAAGATAGCTAGTAATTAGGAGGGGAAGGAGAACTGGAACGTGTGTGTAGTGTGTTTGACCTGTTTAGTCTTACTCTACTACAGCAGAATGGTAAGATTTTCAGGCGTTTTATGTATTCATTGGACCATTTAAATTCCTGTGTTTTAACAGTGGAAACTAGTTTCAAAATCGACTTTCCTTTTGCTTTTGAGCCAAAAATAGAACCTTTTCTGAGCACTGCTAAGTTCTCTGTTGTAACCTAGGCCTCCCTTGGGACTCTCATTGATTTTAGCTGAAATTTTTTTTTTTTTTTTGAAGAGGTTTTCGCTATAGGGCGCATGTGCTCGCCAGACAGACAGAGAGAGACAGAGAGATAGAAAGCGAGAAATCACCCCCAGGGGGGATGGTCACGCCGCAATCCCTTCTCCTCCATTCTCCTCTTGGGATCTTGGGCACGCACGCACACGCGCCTGGCGTGAGTTTTAAGCCACCGCGTCCGGGACACGAACCACGGTCGACTACGTGGGAGTCCAGCGACATAGCCATTACTTAGCTGAAATATTTTTGGGGTATTTTTGACTGGAGTCAGTGACATGCATCTTATAAATAGTTGGAGGTTTACTAAAAGGTTTCCTTTCCTCCCCCAAATTAAAATAAATAAGAGCGTATGTATATTTATTTGTATATGTGCCTTGAAATATTAAGGCATGCAGTTGGCTCAAGGATATTGTTCAGATTCTTTAAGTTTCTTTTTTTTTTCCAAAGGTATGTGTTTCTATTTTATAGTCATGGAGAAACATGTTTCACCAATATTGAAATCTACTGTTCATGTTTTGTTAGGTCGATGGAAAAGTCATGATGTATTTTTCTATGCAAAAATGTGTCATGACATTTCCAACAACCCCATTATCTATGTAAGGGTCTTAAAATGTACACTGCCTCTGTCTTGCTTGGATCAGGGCCTCTGGCTGACTTGGATAAGTCTGGCCAGTGCTTGAGAAGGTCATTGGTTCATTTTTTCATTCCTTAGTCTTTATTTATTGAGTGAATGACATTTCCCTGCAGTAGGCATTGTGTTGAGCAAAGCCCCTACAGGGTCGGCATGGTTAGGCATGAGTCTCACTCTCAAGGAAGGTAAGTTTTAGCTGGGCGTGGTGGTATGTGCTTGTAATCCTAGCTGTGTGGGAGGCTGAGGCCAGCCTGAACAGCATGGCAATATCTTGTCTCTAAAAAGAAAAATTAAAATAAATAGGTACATAAATAAAGAGAGAAGGATAAATTCTAGTCGAGAAGTAGATTGTAACACAAACAAGACGATTGGTGAGTGTGATGAGTGCTCAAGAGCGAGGCAGGCAGTGTGGTAAGTGGGTGGGTAGAAGCTGTTTTAGAGGAGATAATACGACATGAAAGATGGGATGGAGGCAGAAGGAGGGAACAGGCAGTAGAAAAACAGTACGTGCACAGGCCATGAGGGAAGGAAGTGCTGGAGACCAAGAGAGGTCTTTGAGGTCAGAACTTAGCAAGGAGGGACCAAGATTGTGCTGTACCTTGAGATGGCAGGCCTGGTAATGTAAGGTCCTACAGGCCACAGCAAAGCTCAGATTTTGTAATGAAAGTATTAGAAGGACATTCAAAGCTTTTTATTGCACATCCCACCAACCTACCCCGCCATTTGAGAATGATTTTGCTTCTAGGAGAATGAATTATAGAGTCAAAATTGGAAGCAGAGAGATCAGGAGGTGGCTGCAATATTCAGGAAAACTGAAGTGGTGGCTTAAATAGGGGAGCTGGTAATAAAGATGAAAAGATGATGAAGCAGATCTAAGATTCTTTGGCGAGACGAAATGGCTGGATTGATGGTGTGTTATGTGGATGTAGGGGTGGTAGGGTGAGGGATGTGGAGGAGTGAAAGGCGACAGGTGGGGTTTTTGTTAAGCTGCTGAGTCGGTGGCACCTGTACCAAGATGGGCAAGAGTAGGGAGGGGAGAACAGGCGTGAGGACTGGGGCTCAGCGTGGCATCTGGCTAGGGAAGTTTAGCGGTCCTGTAGGCAGTTCTGGAATTCAGTGAAGGGATCAAGCTGGAGCTGCACATCGGGAGTTTTAAGTGTCAAGGTGACATCTAAACAGGGAGCTGGCCTAGCTCCTCTAGGGAGAGGATGCAGGTTGCAAGGAGAAGGTTCAGGCTCAGCTCCGAGGTCCTGCCACCTTTCTGGGGTCTGACCAGGGCCAACAGTGGAGAAGGAAGGAGACTAGGGGAAAGGCAGCAGCGGCCTAGGGTGCAGGTTTCCTGAGGGAGGAGGAGGCACCCATGTGGGAATTCTCGTGAGATGGGGTCAGGGTTTGCTGTGAGTGGGGTGACTGAGTGGCTGGAGCAAAGCAGCGCTTCCATTGGCCTGAAGGGTTGAACGCTGGATTACGGTGGGTTGAAAAATGAATGGGAGCTGAAGGAACAGATGGTAACAGAAATAGGTGATAAATGGAGGCGCGCAGTAGAGGTGGCAACTTGATAGGGAAGTGGTATCCAGGTGAGTGTTTTGTTTAAGATTTTTGAGGGGCCAGCAGGTGGCATGGTGTTTAAGGCACTGGACTCCCACATGGCCAACCATAGTTTGAATCTGGACCTGGCAGCTTTCCTTCTCACTCTCTTTCTCTCTCTGTTTCTCTCTGGTGAGTGTATGTGTCGTGTAGCAAATTAAAATAATAATAATAATAATGACAAATAAAATTAAATAAGTAAATTTTAAGAAAAGATTTTTGAAGGGGCCAGTAAGCAGTTTAGTCGTTAAGGCGCTAGACTCCCACATGGCTGACTACGGCTTGAAAATCACACCTGGCGCGTGATTGCCCAAAATCCCGAAAGGAGGATGGAGGAGAAGGGATTACAGTGGGGATGATTTCTCACTTAACCCTCTCACGGTCTTTGTCTTTCTTCGGGCAAGTACATACGACCTATGACAGAAACCTTTAAAAGAAAAGATTTTTGAATACATTTATTTACAACTTTTAAAGCCTAAAGAGGAGTAAACGGTGAAGTCGTGTTCCATCCTTTCCTCATGTGCCCAGCCCCTTCCAATAACAACTTGGGTTAGTTTCATCGGTGTTAACATTTTCCCAGAGTGTTTATAGGCACTTATAAACCAATGCTAGTATGTCTTTTCCATCAGGAATTTTTTTTCTGTAATATTTTATTGTGCTAAAAGACACATCACGTCATACTTACTCTCCTGATCTTTGTTAAGTACGCAGCTCAGTGGCGTGAATATGGCGCAGCGCTGCCATCCATCTGCAGGACTCTTTAATCTTGCAAAACTGAAAATCCATACCCATTAAACCACTATTTCTACCCCACCCCCCAGCCTCTGCAACCACCATTCTACTTCCTGTCGCTTGTGATTTTGATTACTCTAAGTGCCTCTTATAAGTGGAATAATACAGTATTTGTTCCCTTTGATTGAATAATTTCACTTAGCATAGTGACATCAAGGTTTATTCATGTTGTAATGTTTTTCAGAATTTCCTTTCTTTTTCAGGTTGAATAATATTCCACTTATGTCTGTGCCACATTTTATTTATTCAGTCATCTGTTGAGGGACTCCTGGGTTGCTTCCACACTTAACTGCTGTGAATAATGTGGGTACGAATGTGGGTGTACACATGTCTCTTTAAGACCCTGCTTTCAATTCTTTTGTGTCCCCACAGACCTTTTTTTCCTTTTTTTTTTGGAGAGGTTTTTGCTGTAGGGTGCGTGCGCTTGCCAGACAGACAGAGAGACATAGAGACAGAAAGTGAGAAATCACCCCCCAGGGGGGATGGTCATGCCGCAATCCCTTCTCCTCCATTCTCCTCTCGGGATCTTGGGCACGCACGCACACGCGCCCGGCATGAGTTTTAAGCCACCGGGTCTGGGATGCAAACCGCAGTCGACTACGTGGGAGTCCAGTGACATTGCCATTACACTAACTGCTGGTTCCCCCCACAGACCTTTTTTAAAGATGTTTTTGTCTTAGGTTCACAGCATATTTAAGAGGAAGGTGTAGAGATTTCCCACATACCCCTCACAAAAATGCAGAGCCCACTTCCCATTGTCACATCCTCCACCAGAGTGCCGCCACCTCCACAGCACTGCCTTTCCCACAGTGTCACACAGCTGGATCAAACAGCACGTAGTCTTTTTGGATGGCTTCTTTCACTTGGTACTTTGCATTTAAGGTTCCTCCATATCTTTTCATGAATTGATAGTTCATTTCTTTTTAGCACTGAATAATACTCCATTGTCTGAATGTACTTCGGTTTACTTATCCATTCACCTGCTTAACCAAGGCATCCAGGCTCCTTCCACATTTTGTTAGTTATGTATTTTTTTAAAGAATTATTTATTTATTATCATTTTTCAGTTTTGACCAGGGAGAGAAAGAGAGAAAGAGAGAGAGAGAGAGAGCGAGCGAGAGAGTGCACTCCAGCCACCAGGTCTGAGACTCAAACTGCAGTTGGCCACGTGGGAGGTCCAGCACTTTTAAGCATCAGCCACCTGCCGGTCCCCTGTCAGCTTATGTATTAAGTGACCATGAGGCTTTTGTGTAAATGGAAGTTTCCCCCTTCCTTCAGTAAATAAGAAAGAGTATGACTCCTAGATCAATGGTGAAAGTATGTTTTGGTTTGTTAGAAGTTGCCAAACTAGCTCTAAAAGTGGCCGTACCATCTTGCACTCTCATGAACAATGAATGAGAGTTCCTTTGCTCCTCTTCCTTATCAGTGTTTGGTGTCTGTGTTTCAGATTTTGGCTGTTCTTTTTTTTTTTTTTTTTTAACATTTTTTTTTTTTGTTTTTTTG